AGGCATGCACCACTATGACTGGTCTTTCTCCTTTTCATTACCAACTGGTCCCTGGTTTTGTCATGAAGACTCCTAGGACCAAGTGTTTACCTTGGTTTACTTTGGTTTACTATGTTTAGTTTACTCATAGTTCTGCAAATTTAGAAGGCATTGTAATATGTAATTATGTGTTATTAAAAGACCCAGTAGGGCCTGAGAACACATTTCTGGGAGAAAGTTTAAGAAAGGTCCCAGTAAATTGTTCACACAAGTTTAGATCAAGTTTTGTCTTTTTGTTTTTATGTGTATGAGTGTTTTGCCTGCACATAAGCCTATGTGTCTCATGTAAGCTTGCTGCTCAGAGCTGTCAGAGGTATTTGAATCCCTGAACTGGAGTTATAGGTGATTGGAAGCCACCATGTGGGTGCTGAAAAAAAATCGAACCTGGGTCTTCTGCAAGATCAACAAATGCTCTTAACCACTGAGCTGTCTCTTTAGCCCCTAGATCAAGTTTTAATATATGAGTTTGGATGCCAAATTTATGAAAAGATACCCTCTTCCAGAGGTTTTTATTTTGTAGATTCTGGAATTACAAATGAGCTGTTAGGCCATCACAGTCAGCACTTCCTCATATCCCATCCTTCCTACTCCAATCCATCTTACACGCTTATGACCACAAGCTAGGCAAGCATGGTGGCACACAGCTTTGATCCCACAAGTTGGCAACCAGAGACAGGTAGATTCTTTAAGTTTGAAGCCAGTAAAGATTACACAGTAAGGTGTCGTCTCAAACACACACACACAAACACACACACACCCCAAAGAATATATTGTCATGAATTAGGGACTCTTAAGACATTCTACTAGATAAAGAGCCTGTAAAGGCAAACAAGAGAATACTGCATTGGAGCAGGTGTCAGCAGAAACTAGTATGACAGCCTACTAACTGACTGAACCTGAAAGCAAAAGAAGAGAGAAAAGAGGAGCCAAATAAGAGTGAGATCTCAAGCCTAAGAGAGTGAGTTAGATAGAGGCATTCCAACTTGGCCATGAATGTGATGTATCTATCAGAAGTAATTCGAACTCAGCAGGCATGTTGGAAGTCCTAGTCCAGGTCCTCAGCACAAGTTTGGTGAATTTTATAAAGTTAAACAGAACTTTGCAAAACTAAGCAGACCAGCAGTGGTAATACACATCTCTGCACACCTTTAATTCCAGCACTGGGGAGTCAGAAGTAGGTAGAGTTCTCTGAGGCTAGCCTTGTCCCCATAGCAAGTTCCAGATCAGCCAGTGCTACATACTAAGACCCTGTCTCGGCAACAAACAACAAAAACACTAAGCAGATTATTTGCTAAGTTGGTAAAACAATTTTCTGTATATAACTAGTTCCATTCATTTGAGAATAAAAAACTAAAAATTCAAATACTCTGGCGACATAGAAAAAAAGGAGGGAACCCCTGAATTTCTTTATATTTAAAAGAGATGGAAGTTAAAGGAAGAGGGAAATAAAAAATGGGCAGGATAAACTGTCACAATCTCAAATAGAAACTAGAGACAAGCATCAAGTGAATCAACAAATGAGAAGAAGACTGAATGGGTTCAGCTATTTGTTTTACCAATTCAACAACGAGCGACTTTTCAAGTCATTGAAGGGGTGGAAAAGACACTATTGCAAACTGAAAAGTGTATGTGGGAGTGTGAGGTCTGTGTTTTACAACACTACGTTAGATTGTGCTACCATAAAAAATATTTAGGTTTTACAGACTAATAATATTAAAATCTGAAAACAATATTCTCTACTTTTTAGGTCAACACCAAAAATAAATATGGAATGCTATTTCACACAGCATTTTTTAATATTTCCAACCTTTTATTTTTATGTTCCCTTTATTTTTATGTTCCCTGGTGTTTTGCCTGAATGTATGACTCTGTGAGGGTGTCAGAAGCCCTCGAACTGGAGTTACAGATAGGTGTGAGCTGCCATGTGGGTGCTGGGAACTGAGCCCTGGTCTCCTGGAAGAACAGACAGTGCTCTCAACTACTGAACTATCTCTCCAAGCCCCCAAAAGTACCTTCAAATATGGATAAATAAGTCAAACCAGTACCTATTTTAAGATGCCCTTGACAGAGGCTGATGCCCTGTGGCTTCAATCCATTGATCTGTCAACTGCAATGTTCAATCTTTGCTTATCTGCCAAATGCAACTCAGACCACAATACTGCTCTGGCTCAAAAACTTAAAAACCAGGTTAGAAAATAACATGCTCCACAGAAACACAATGGCCTGCCCTGTAAGACTTGCCATATTCTTCTGGTTATTATCAAAACTACCTAAACACCTAGAGAACATGAGGATCAGTTATCAAAGACTAATCGTGATACTTCTCCCATTGGTACAGGTCAAAATCAGCCGATGAGCATTCATTCACTCAAGAGTCTGAGTTATGGTTGTGCCAGACATTAAGGCTAAAAAGAGAAGCAGGACAGAGTCCTTGCCTCCCAGAAGAGCCAGAGAAGTAGTCGAACTTGAATACAAAGACAGAAACACAGCTGCAGCCCTAACAGGCTTGTTACTGCTAAGAGGCCAGGAATCCACAAACAAAAGGCAACTGTCCACTTTGTTCTGTTCTGTACTGTTTTGAGGGCTGGACAAGAATTCCAGGAAAGCTATGCATTGGTTAACAGAAATAAATGTAATACCGAGAAAAGAAGGCTTTGCAAGGCAGGAAGCAGAAGGAAAAAAAAGTATCCTAAAACTTAGTGTAATCTTAGGTATCACAGATATTTCAATAAGGATATTTCACCTTAATGTTGTAAAAGTTGACAAGATGATGTGAACACATTTAATGAAAGGGCCTACAACTGATGAGCGACAAAGCTGGAACCAGGGTGCGGGAGAATTGTCTGTATTCTGTCAATCATTTTTTAAAAAAACGCTGATTGGCCAGGCAGGAAGTATAGGTGGGTCAACCAGACAGGAAGTAGAGTCAGGGTGATGAGAACAGGAGAATTCTGGGAAGGAGGAAGCCTATTCCTCCCAGTTCTTCCCAGACCACCGAAGAGGCAAGATGTAAGCTGCCCCGCTGAGAGAGGTACAGAGCCATGTGGCTAACATAGATAAAAATAATGGGTTAATATAAGCTACCAGAGCTAATAAGTAGCCTGAGCTAATGGGCCAATCAGTTTTATAACTTATGGAGATCTCTGTGTGATTTTCTTTGGGGCTTGCCGGCAGTGGGATACCGGGCAGGACAGAAACCCCAACAAGCCGGCCCTCAAGTTACATCTGAGGTCCCCGTATTGTTACCTACTTTACCTAGATATTTAAAACTTCCAAAAGAAGTCACTAAGAATGGCGGGTTGGGGTGTGTGTGTGTCTGTGCGTGTGTGTGCCTATAATCCCAGCACCACAAAGTCAAGGCAGAAGGATCACTAGTGGTCTAATACAATCCTAATTCAGCAGGTGTTTGTTAGAGGAAGCCCAGGTGAGATTGTCAAGAGCTAGTTCAGTTCACTGGGGAAGCACTTGCTTAGCATGCACAAGACCAGAGAGTATGATCCACAAAACATCAAGAAAAAAAATTTTAAAGAAAATAATGCTTTTTAAACTCAGTAAGATGTGTATTGATTCTAAAAATAAACTCTCTGGTTTTACATGATACATTTACTTTACATTTACTGACAGACTTTTTAAATACTAGAAAGAGCACAGCACCTTTATCTTGTTTTAATCTTTAATAAGTCCTTCCTAACAGGAAGTTAAATATTAAGTTTTGTAAAATGCTGCATTAGCTGGGTGAGGAAACACAAACTCTGACACAAATATGACTAAAATTTGGGAATATCAGTATCAGTCAAAAGCTGGGTAAACTTAGGTACAAAAAGTAAGGGAGAATAATCAGCAAAACCTTTGTCAAAGGACAGTGGCAGAAATCAGAGGAATGACAGTCACAAGACAGACAGACAGAGAGCAAGCTGCAAGATGCCTTTAGGGAGAATTCGGGGAGAAAGGAAGAGTACAGAATTAAAAGCAAAGTATTTAAGGCACAATAAACATCTACAACTGACATATGATATATAGGCAGTAAATATCTGTTAATGATTATGATATATTCAGTTACAAAAAGATGAAGAAAACAATAGGCAAAGGTGTATATTTTACAGAATGCAGCAATTGAGGGGAAAAAAGGAAAACAACAACAAAACAAACTCTGGGCCAAACAGGTGGCTCAGCATGGAAAGATGAGAAGATGCCTGACACCACACATCCTGACCCACACAGTGGAAGGAGAAAACCAAATGTAGCAGGACACCCCATGGCACATATGCACGCTGCCCCCAAACACACACAAGATAAAATGTGGAAAAAGAACCAACAAGGTAAGTGAGAAACAATATCAGACACAAAGCCTACTGTTGGAGCTGTTCCTCACCTTGGAGTGAACCCTGGTCACCTACTGTGAGTGAGTTTTGTAGGCCCTGTTACTTATATACCAGAATCCAAGTGTGACCTGGCTCTAGCCCAAAGCTACTGACTGAGTCCAGGCACCCCACTCGGGGCTTTCTGCTGTTACCCAGATAATAGCATCATCTGCAAGGGTTTGTCAACAGTTTTAGTTGTTTATACATCAAGGGTTAGAAACTAGGAGGCAAACCACTCACTCTTGAAAGGTAATACAAATTCAAAAAAGAAGTTAAAATATATTGGATCTTTTTTTTTAAAATTTCACCAGATAGTAAAGTTAACAGAGGAAAAAAAAAACCCATGATTTTAAATAAAAGAAATGCTGACAGTGTGGTATCAGTTATGAACTGAAATATATTCCAAATAAAAAGTTCCATAATTTATGTCAAATTTTCAAATATTTTTTTCTAAAGATTAGACCATTTAGCCAGTTATCCAACTAGAAAAGTATAAACTTGTATGGTAAATCAAATTAACAAGATTCCAACTGTTCATGAGACAGCCTAGTTCCACCAGACACACTCAAAGCAGCAAATCTGATGCACTCAGCTCCTTACCTGCAGCTCCTTGGAGACTCGTTCTAAGTGACTGGTTATCTTTTTAATCAGATCACTGTACATCTGTTCCGAGTGCTGCTGGCACACACACTTATATACACAGCTGCAAGAAGGAACAGGCACAGAAACCAAGTCAATGAAGAAGCATTCCCTGCAATCCCATGTTAAAGTACACTTTCAAAATAAAACTCATCAACCTACAACAGGTGATCAACCAAAAACTGAAAGAAAAAATCTACCCTCCCCATTCAATGTTCTGAAGGAAAGGACACTGCCAATTAACTTCAAATGACCTGGATAGTACACGTGAAATAGGCATAAGATAATCCAAAATGAGGATCTATGGTCTGAATGTGGTAACTCCTTATAAGTCAGCTTTTCTCTTTTTTAAAATACTTGACAAAATGAGAAAGAGAATGATAACAAGAAGAGAGACGGTTTCTGACTTACAAAGGTGTTTGCAATCCGTCCTCCTGTACACCAGTCGTGGGGTGTACATAGCTGTCACTTCTTCCCGTCACTGTGCTGATCTCATTTCCCATCCCAGTTCCTAATCTACTGCTTCCATTGACTAAGAGCTAGGTACAGTTAGAGCTGACATCAGTCAGCATCAACAGGGCTAACTAGGATCTCCTTAAAAACATGTATTTTTATAGCAAACACTCCACTAGCTTCTCTCACTGGCCTTGGAGGTTTTTCATTGTATATGATAAAGACAAGCAAGCAAGCAGAGGTGGAAGTTAATAGTGTAGTCTACTAGATATATCTTGATATGAAAACCACTTCTGAACCAAACATCCAATTCACCAGTGTGGAGAATATTTACATCCAACGTTATCTTATATACTTTATATATCACATTCATGTTGTCAGCAATCAAATTCCATTCAAACACACACAAATTAAATAGTAACTTACCTGTAAATCTGTTCATAGGATATAGGTATATAGTCACCAGGACTCTGGGTTAAAAGCTGGTCTATGGCACCATCTAATTTTGGCCAGTATGTGCTCTTATAATCTTCGATTGTTATGACATTCATTACTACAAATAGAAGTAAAATAATCATTACTATGTGCCACACAGAAATACAAATCATAGCAAGTGTATACACATTCAAAATCTGTCCTCCCATTACTTACCCAACCTATTTCAGTTTTTAAAAAGAAAAGAACGTTGGAAGATGGAGGCAGAGGCAGGCAGGTTATCTCTTGAGTTCTAGGACAGCCTGATCTACATAGTGAGCTCTGAGACAGTTCAGTGACACTGTCTCAAAAAAAAAAAAAAAAAAAAAAAAAAAAAAAAAAAGATAGGGGAGCTGAGGGGAAAGACAAGAGAAAGAGAGAGATGAGATGGGGAAGAGAATGAGCAGAAGAGAGAGTGAAAGCGTGCACACACATGCGCGCGCGCACACACACGAACTAGTCAGGAATGTTAAGCAGTCACTGGCTGCTTTCCCAATATGCTCTAAGCTTCTATCATCAGTGAAGCATTCTCCAAAAATCCTGACCCTCAAATACATATTGTCACAATTATGTGACATAATGAGCCATCAATGAACTACAAGAAGGTTCCAGGAACTGTAGCCTTTCATAATTAATCTTTATAGACATCCCGGGGGGGGGGAATCTATCTAATGACTGAACTACAGGGCCGGAGATTTAAACAACACTGTAGTCCCAAAAGAGGATCCCACAAAATGTACTGACACTTATGGTATCACAGTACCACTCAGATGTACCTAGAATTTGACAAGTCCAAGGGGGAAAAAAAAATGACCTAGAAACCTTACATTGAAGGGTCACCTCATTTCAATGGACAAACTCAAACACTCATCACGAATCCTTTCAAGGCCTTAGCAAGCTGTTCCTAACTTCAGGGGTAACACGTGCTTTACAACAAGATGCTAAAGTTAAACAGAGTTACCTAACGATTTCTAGATACCCAAGAAGATAAGAGGTAACAACTCCCAAATCAAGTATTTTACTGCTCATTTTGCCAAAACCTGGGAAGCAAGGAAGTTAAGTAGCTTCTTCCAGAATACATGACCAATTCCAGACAGAGAGGCCAGGTCAGGAAAAACCTTACTATTATATTCCTAATGCCTAACCTTAGCCATTAAGGATATATATAAAATACACCACCGCTATCATTATTATTCAACTTCCTATAAATCATTTTACTTTTAGTGTCATAAAATACATGCCAAAGGGCACTTAAAGAATGACTTACTGACTCTTAAGACAACATGGTAGAATTTTTTTCCCTTTTTGAGACAGGATCTCATGTAGCCATGGATGACCTTCAACTCCTGCTCTTCCTGCCTCTACCTCCCAAGAGCGGGACTATAGCTGTATGCCAACACATCCAGTTTTAGTATACCATAACCTTAAGTACATTTTGGGAATAAGGCTCAGTATAATGCTCATCTAGTATATGAGAAGTCCTGAGTCCAGTTACCAAAACTACAGAGGTTGGGGACAGTGCTCAATGTAAGAAGTCATAATCAAAAGTCTCCATATTTGGAAGATTATATATAATATTAATATAGGTGAAACTGTAAGGATTAAAAACATCATTGATTGTCAGGGATTTGTCAATAAAGAAAAGGCGTATCTATAAAGGGCTAACAGGGAGAGTGTTAGGGCAATGAGGTGCTTTGTATGGAATTGAAATAACAATATACCACTCTACTTGTGTCAGAACCAAAAGAACTGTGCACCATACAATGAATCAACGAGGCTATAGGTTACAGAGGCAGAAATGAAATTAAAGTCTGACAAGTCTGAATGACAAATGAATCAGAGACAACAATAAAGGATAAAGCTTTGCCTAGCATGTATTAGACCCTGGGTTCGAATCTCCACACTGAGGGGGTGGCAATTCTCCTAAAGGACATAATATAAATGTCCTTTTAGGAAATTTAACTCAGTGGCTGACAACTCACCTACCATGTATAAGACAAGTTCAATACCTATTACTTCTGATTAGAAAAAAAAAGTGTCTCATATTAAAGCCTGACATAGTGGTGCACACCTGTAATCTTAGCACTTGGCAGGCTAAGGAAGGGAGATATCTGAATTGCATAGTATGCATAAGGCCAGCCTGGAATGCATGCTGAAAAATTCTGTCAAGAAAGGAAAGAGGGAAGGAGGGAGGGAGGGAGGGAGGGAGGGAAGAAGAGAAAAGAATGAAAAGCAAATGAACTAGAAGGTGTGAGTTCACAAAGAGACATTCCAATTTAAATAAAACTTGTGTGACTCTCCACACAACTGCCACAAAGATGAAGCCTCAAAATACTTACAGGGAAGATATCAAACTCACAATCAGACTCCTACTGCAAAGGTAGTTAAACTGACCCTTACTGCAACCAAATGAAACTAAGTCTAAAACACAAACAGCTGGAACCTAGGGCTTGGGAGATACTATACAGCTGTCAAAAACTAGGAAACTACTAGAAATATGTTGTTCATAGCAGGCACTTTCATTAACCAAATAACTTAAAACTTGACAAAAGCCAGGAGTAGTGGCACATGTCTTTCATCCCAGCACCCCAGAGGCAGAGGTAGGTGAGTTTGAGTTCAAGGCCAACCTAGTCTACAGACTGAGTTCTAGGACAGCCAGAACTAAAGAGAAATCCTGCCTGAGAGCAGGGAACAGAAGGTGTTTTAACACAAATACTACTGAGAAGAAATTAAAAGCTAGAGCCCAACTCTGTACTGCCGACGGGCAGTCAAAGTCTGTGAAGTAGACTAACAGTGTTTACTGGAGAAACAATCCAAGGCATACTATTTGCTGTTTAGAATTCCATTTCACATGGGCTACTGCAAGTAAAATTGGTCCTACTCCCCAATCCTTTTGCAATGACTTCTTGTGCTTTCACCAGGCTGGTCTAGCTACTGCAGAGACTGATCATTACACTCCAACAGTCAAAGCCTGGTTACACAGGAGCATCATGGGGAAGGCAGTTTATCATAGGAACTGTGAGACTTCACTTGTCCTACTTAGTTAGGGTTTCTATTGCTGCTATGAAACACCATGACCAAAAGACAAGTTGGGGGAGGAAAGGGTTTATTCAGCTTACACTTCCACAGTGTTGTTCACCACTGAAAGAAGCCAGGACAGAAACTCAAACAGGGCAGGATCCTAGAGGCAGAAGCTGATGCAGAGGTCATAGGGGGGTGCTCCTTACTGACTTGCTTCCTGGCATGCTCAGTCTGCTTTCTTACAGAAACTAGGACCACCAGTCCAGGGACGGCACCACCCACAGTGGGCTGGGCCCTGCCCCAATGATCACTTATTGAAAAATTGCCTCGCATGGAGGCATTTCCTCAACTGAGGCTTTTTCCTTCCTGATGACTTTAGCGTATGGCACGTTGACACGCAAAACCAGCCAGTACACCACCTTAGGCCTGATCAGAACTCTGAAGTCAGAAGAGACCCTAGAATCTGTTCAATATTCTCTTCCCCAATGACCCTCAAGACTGCTCAAGTTTGAGAACCACTGGCCCACATCACACACAGTACAGTGCAGCCAGAGAAAGTATCATTTATTTTCTTCTCTGGATTGCTAGTAAGGAGTCTGTCATCTTTTGCACTGTGGTCAATCAATGTATAAATATATCAAAGACAATATTGAAAGAGCAGGCAGAAGTGCTTTCATGCAAAATAACCAAAGTTCCACATGGTATCCCTATTCCCCATCAAGAAAGCCACCTTATAGTATTGATTCTCTGACTTGGTAATGACAATTTTAAAATAAGCCAAGCTCAGCAAACTAAATTACATCTGAAACATAGTTGTGTTTTTTTTTTTAATTAACTATTGGTGTGAGAAGCCCTTCTGTCTATGTGTTGCTTTTATTGGTTAATGAATAAAGAAACTGCCTTTGCCTGTGATAGGACAGAGTAGAGCTAGGAGGGGAAAACTAAACTGAATGCTGGGAGAAAAGAAGGCAGAGTGGGAGAGAAGCCAGGTAGCCCTGCTGGAGACAGAGGCTGTATGGTACTGGGTAAGCCACAGCCACACAGATTAATTGAAATGGGTTAACTAAAGATATAGGAGCTAGCTAGCAATACGCTTAAGTGATTGGCCAAGCAGTGATTTAAATAATATAGTTTCTGAGTGATTATTTCGTGGTCTGGGCAGCCGGGAACGAACAAGCAGCCTTCCATAACAAACTATAACTAATGACTAGGTACACTAAGGCTATTCATGACAGAGAGACATGTCTGCTCCTGGCAGTACTAATTTACTTCAAAAAAAGGATGATGGGCATCAAAGAACCTCCATATAGAGTTTGCATTTGTTGTGACAATGCTAGTCATTTGGGAAAGAAACTGCCCTCACCTTGACTGTTGATAATATATTGTTCAAATTGGACAAGCAGAACACAAAAAAAGCAACTGCCAAACTTTGCCTAGAAAGGGTAGGACAGTCCTTCAAAATTCCCACTTCATAGAAAAGTATGTTAGGTATCTAGGCCCATAGGCCAAAGATGGATGCCCCAACATTACAGAGGAACCCTGGGGTGACTATCCAGACAGCCAGATGTTTCTGTCATTTCTTAGTTTTGGAAGTTGCTTGCTCTGCACTTCCTGTTTACTCAGATAACATTACGTCCTTCCCAGGTCTCTGATGGGATTGAAGATTAGATAGTTACAGCTTTTCTTAGTTATGATAAAGAGTAAATTAGGTACAAAACTTTGGACTCACCAAGATATAACAGATAATATTTTCTCTGAATTTGCCAAAAACAAATGGACTGGACATTGTGAATGGAATTCTTACTTGAAAAAATTTCCTATTGTATACAATTTTACTCTATTAGAATTAAAGCCTTTGCTTTTTATTTAAAACAAAAAGGGGGAATGTTGTGGCATATTGCACACTGTGTGAAGATGTGTCACTGTGATTAGTTTAATAAAGAACTAAATGGACAATAGTTAGGCAGGAAGAGGTTAGGTAGGATTTCCAGGAACACAGAGGACTCTAGGACGAAGAAGGCAGAGTTGCCAGGCAGACACAGAGGACACAGGATGGGC